TTCCAAATAAGAATATGGAGGTGGCAAAGTTGAAATTTCTTACTAGGAGGTAGAAAATTTCTACTTTTGAAGACAAATAGAATACCCCATTGCATTCTTTTATAGCTAGTGGCTACCAAGAAACCATAACTAGTAGCTAAACAATCCAGTATTGGTTTTGGATATGTTCATTATTCAAATATTAATCAATTTTATATCTTGCCTCCACATGAGGAGAAAAAAAATCAACACCCTTCAGAAATATTATTGTTTTTTTGTGAGAAACTTCTGTTAAGTCACTACATCCTTTAGCTACAATATAAAGTAAAGGCTGTGGTGAAGACAGTGGTTGTAAATTTAGGTTACATCTTGAATTATAATAATTGAACATTATTGATCTCACCTAGAAGAAATTGACCTCTGCATTTTACCCATCCCCTTAGGGAGCAGTGAGCTGCCATCATGGGGCGCCTGGGGGTTAGGTGGGTTTCAAACTCATAACCTCAGGATTCCAAGCTCTATGCCCTAACTACTAGGCCGCCACTCCCCATTATAGACCATTCCATGCATAGCCACTGGCATTTGTAACTTATTGTAAACTACATGATGATAAATGTATTTAAATTTTACCCACCAAATAATAAGTACCAGAATTAGCTAGAATTGATTGATTAATTACAGGAAGAAAAAGGTGCATTGGACATATACAGAATATACAGTGCGTCCACATATGACAGCTTTTTGTTTTTTTCATAGTAGGCTCATTATACCAGGTTATTGCACATATAGATAGATATTTATATATAGCTACTGCACTGGGTGTCAAATATAGAGAAACAGGTTATTGCACAGGGTATTAAACAGTAAAGCACATTATACTAAGAAGCTAAAAACCTCAAGATGTCATAGGCTAAATGTTTGCCAACTATTGTTAAAGTCCTTACAAATCATTTATTTCTTGTCTGTCAATCTGTCACTGTTTCTTTGTTCATCGAAATATTCAAAGCAGTGCCAGACAACAGTACATAAAGACTTTTTTTGTAACTAATTTTTTTTTTATTCTATATTTCCTGTGTATTGCTTTGAGATGACATCTCTTGTAATGCTTTATAGATATAACCTGCCTAAGTGGACATGTTGCTGCAGTATAAAAGTGCAAAATGCATTTAAATACTGTCTCATGTTTGAATAACTGTAGTGGTTAGCTTGGTGATTGAGCACAATTAGATGATCCTGCTGGTATTTAACCTGAAATCACATGGTTGTTGATTTAGATATCATTCCTAGATCCATGTTTTACGTCTTAGTTAAATGGAACGCAGTAAGTTCAATTTAATGAAAAGTTATGTGAGAATGAGCACATTTTTACCTCTGTAAATTTAATCCAGATTTTTTTTTATAGCTTAAGATTTTGTTAAATTGAAGTCATAAAATAGATGTCAGCATTTGTTCCTTGTTCATAATTTCTTCCCATAAAAGCTTCAATATTTGTGAATCTTAGACAAAAAAATAACAGCATAATTGTCCAAATACCTGTGGTGCTTCCATTGGCCAGCTTAAACAGAGAAACTCATATAACCCCTGTTTTAAAATCTCTAAGCTCGCTGTTCAAAATGAAATTTTAAATTCTAGTTTTAAACCTCAGAACAGGACTAATATAATTAGGCTTCTTGGTTTATTTCCAATTAATTCAAACACATATTTCTTTATGCAGTCTGAGGACATTGCATCAAACCGTTTAGTGGTCCCTTATACCTACTTTAAAAGCTAGAGGAAATCCAGATATATTTCCTGTCTTTTCATGGAGTTTGGAGGCTTGTGATCATTTTGATGTTCAAAAAGCTAATTCACAACTTGTCACCTCAAGGCACTTTACAGGTACATTTCAATCAGATCATATTGTCATATAAAAAGTTTCTACCTAAGGAAACTCAGCTGCATCGGGTCATTGACTTTGCAGGACAAGCTCCTCCTGGATGAGCATGTGACAGCTAATGACATTTTTATTTCAACAAGCTTCTAGTTTGATATTTGCCTTAATGATATACATGTATGATACTATTTGTGTTTTGTTTTCTATACGGTACATTGCTGGGTATTTCGTTTTTGAGTTTAACTTCTTGTGAACCTCTTTGTGACATCTGTCTGTGAAAATATGCTTATACAAATAAACTTTTACTTACATGGCCTCATTACAAAATCTTTAATGAAGACCCGCACTGCATGATAACAATGGAATTTAAAAAATCACTCATTTCTGATTCTGTAATCAGTAGTATGTTTCAGTCCAGGTTATGTTGTAGTGTAAATACCAAATTTCTTCTGTAATTCAAACACCAAGAAACCATATTAATCTAAAATAGAATAAAGGAAGAAATAAAGGAGCTTTTCATTTCAAGTTTGACCAGTCTTTATTTTACAGTTTCGGGGTCTTCAGTTTGTTCCCAGTAAAATGTTATAAGCCAGATTCCAGTTTCAGCATAGGTATACACACCATCAACATTTTTTTTTCTACCAAACACCCAAAATGGGGCCACAAAAAAGCTTTGTCAATGCTTGTGCAATAAAGTGTTACTGGCCAGCCCGATGCAGGGAAACTGATGATGACTAAATTAGATTCGATTTCCCCTGTAGAGTGCCTTAGTATTGCATCTGTTGTAAACCAATGCTTTATAAATAAACAGAATCTAGAGAAATTTAAACCAGATTTTTAACTCACTTGAAACTGCCAAAAAGTCTCAAGCCACAATGTCTACATTAACATGGAGCTTTCATAATGACCTGTGTGCGTCACTCTAAACTAAGTGTGGTCATACAGAGTCCAGCTCGACTGACAGCTTTATTCATCAAGCCCCTTGGGACCTTTAGGTGTAGAGCTTTTCATCATCTGACATTAGTATGTATCAGTTCGTAAATGATATCTGCCTTCACCACCAGAGAGACGCACCCCTATACCTGACACCCGGCTGCTCATGGCAGGAATGCAGGAATAGATGCCAACACACACATGATGATTTATTCTGAGTATTAAGACACAGAGTGCTTCTAGGAAGAAACGCTCAAGCAGTCTTTGACTTTAACATGAGAACCTGGGGAGTGCTTGTTAATATAAAAAATAGACTTTTTTTTTAAGTCATAGACTTTTGAAGATCCCTGTTGGAAGCAACGCTTTTCCAGGTAGTTTTTGAAGTTGTGTCAAAACTGCAATTTAATGACAAAAACTATTATATTTTAAAAAGTTTTTTTTTTTCTTTTGGCAGGGGTCTTAAAACCAGCCTAAACATCCTAAAATTCCTTTCAGCCTCACATCATCCCATCTCCTTTTATTGAGAATCCTCTTGGTTTTTAAAAACCCTCTTCTATTTTTATCTTGCATGTTCACTGTTGCTAGGAGCGGGGCATGTATTCAGGAGATGCACCCCCTTGTTTAATAATGCATAAGTGCAGTGAATGCACCACAAAGGAAATCTACTGCACTTCCCTCTTTTCTGATTGTTTCTCATAAAATTCAATAGTTATCAGAAGCATTGGTGAAGCTGATTTACAAATAGTTTTATGTATGTGCTGAACCCCTTTGATATGGCAGACTCAGTTAGGGGATGGGGGCTTGGTGGGACTAAGCACTAAGGTAACCAAATACCCCCAAATATCTAAAGTCTCAAAAAGCTTTCATTTGCTAAAAACAAAAAAAACAAAAACAAAAACAGACATGTCTCCCTATTATTTCATGGCAGCGTACATTTAGGGTCAATTAATGGTTAGTTCAACATCTTAGAGCAGCAGCAACACTCGGGCGTGGACAGATAAAAGGCAAAACAAGCACAGACAGATGCTTGTTTCTTGTTTTAATATCAAACTCCAAAAATCAGCTTTTTTTCTTTTCTTTTACTTCATGCAGTCACGCTAACCTATGCACAGAGAGACAAGAGGTCTCTAATTTCAGCTCTGGCAGCCAGGGTGCCGATGAGCTCATCCTCATCAAAGAGCTGAAGGCAGTGGACGATGCGCTCAAAGGCTCTTTGGGGCGCACAGGAGGTGGGGTAGATCGAGTCATGGGGAGCAGATGCTGCAGTTAGGATGCACCTCCTGGGATCCTTTTTATTGGCTGACGCTCATCCAGTTCTCTGGTTTTCTCAGAAACCAGTAAAAACCTAGAAGCTTGTATGGTGTATAATAAATTCATCAGCTAAAGTATCGAGACAACAGTAAATAGAAAAAATTTAGTTGCCCCTGACGTCATCTGCAGAAGGAAGTGATTGCAATAAAACAGCCAGTATTAGCCCTCCTACTGTGTGAAGCTGGTTGCAGACATTCTCCTTGTTTCAAGGCGTCTGAAGACCAAAGAAGCGTGATAGAGACATCAGGAAAAGAAGTGTTAGAAATCTGCAGCAACAGCAGGAGGAACAGGAGGAAGGGGCATATCCATGAAAGAGCACCAAGTGAATTACTGATTGCAAAGACCGCTAATAGCCCCAGACCGGCCTCTCTCCATTACAGTCATTTCATACAGCAGCTTTTATTACCTCCTCCTATTACAAAAGCACACACATAGACTTACATTTGCACCGCCACCATACTGACTGCACATCCCAGCTTGCACCCGACAGCTCCCTCCAGGATCTTTTTTTTTTATCCACCCTTTCATTGAAGCTGGTATGACAGAACTTCTTGCAAACAATGCCTGCCCTGGCCAACACCAAGACGCTTGCAAGACTTAAGTCTGCACTGCACAGCAGGGCCCTTTTCACAGTCAGCAACCAGAAGCCAGCGGAGGAACTATGTGAGCTTGGCCGACAGGAAGCACGCTCTTCTTCAAGGCTTAGCTGAGATTAGGCTGAACATGCAGGACCTTGTCACATCCACTCCGCAGGTCAGGTGAGGCCAAGTGAGCAAAGAGGCAGGAATTTGATCTGGTCAGGCGGGACTGATGGGTTGTAATCAGAAATTTCCTGAAAAAATTTGCTTTCATAACTGCCTGAAAGCAGCTGAAAGGATGCATACTCAGAATTGTTTGCTCTTACCTGAGTTCTCCTCCACCTCCCTCTCATCCGTGCAGATGCCCTGGCCATGCATCAGGGAGTGTAGCGGCCTCTCTACCCCACGTGGTGGGTAGCATCGGAGGCCAGTGCCACACCGGGGTGAGTATACACCACAGTGAGCCCCTTTAGGGAGCGCACAGGTGGGGCAGCAGCCGCAGCCAGGCTCGCGCACTGTTTCCTCACAGCCATCGGGCAGATGACAACTGGCCAGCCTCTCTTCAGAGCACACTGGACAGCGGATGGCCTGATCCGACAGGCACAGCGCCGCCAACGACAGGGCGCCGAATGTCCACAGGCCCCAGTAGGTCGGAGCCACGCCACGTCTTCGCACCATGACAGCTCAGACACCTGCACTTAGTCCTTTGCCCTTTGTAAAGGATCCTCTCAGGTTCACCCCTCCCTTGACTTTGCTTTTGATGATTTTTCCTCTCAGATAGATTTTAGACGGACAAAGAAGGCTTTACAGGAACAATTTATCCAGAATTCTTTGATATTTCAGCTGGACGGGGACACAATGCCTCTGCTGTATTCCCTCTCTGTTGTTCTGTTTCAATTTCACAGTGCAGAAACTGGAGCCTGCCTTTTATCAGCTAGCCAAGGTTTGGGTGATAAAAAACTATGTCTTAGTTGAGGTTGAAGGATACAAGTGGTTTCTTCAGGTAAGTATTGTCCACCTTTTGAGGAAGCACCAAAAATACTTAGTCAACAAGTGTCCACTTGCAAAGCTGTCATCAATAAAAAAAAATGTCAGAGCCACAATTTCTTCCTCTTGTCTGTGTGCAACACGAAAGACCGTCTTCTGAGAATGCCTCAAAGCAAGCAGCTCTCTTTGGACTTTATACTGGTCCGTGGACACGCCTCTCTCTCCAGGCGCAGCAGAGAAAAGCCAGGGTGAAGCTCTCTCCTCTGTCTCCCTCTGTCTCTCCAAAGCTTTCTCACACTCTCAAGCCTGCAAACTTGTGCTCACTCTCCTCTGCTTGTCCTCTCTCAGTCCTGATTGCATGAAGGAAAACAGCTGAATCGCCTTCTCATTTGTTCTCACTCAATATCCACTCAGACTTGGTGTAGTTTATGTGACAGGCGGTCTGTTGTATTGATTAGTAGTCTGCAAGATAATACATTTTGTTCTGTAAAGAAGCAGACTCCCTTCAGGGGCTCTCCACTTTAATCAACCCCAAACGTAGAAAATCCATGTACCTACCTCTGTGGCTAAGTATTGTTCAGGCAACAAAACAACCTCTGCTGCCTCAACATGGTCTCGGTGTGTGTTTTTATGGAGTCCCCCCTCCACTCCCTGTTTCATTATGTCAGCTCCCCGATCTCCTTTTCTCTCCCGTGTTGCGAACTGATGATGGGCAGCTATAAAAGGCAAAGGGACACTCAAACACCACTTTTCCAGAATCCTGCCCTGCCCTACCCCCACCAGTCCTAAATAGCCCCCCACCCTTCAAGAGTTTGTTCAACCAACCCTGCACAGCAAGCCTAGTTTATCACATGCGTGTTTCTGATCATCAAAGACTGTACTTTGTTCTTGTTTGCCAGTTCGGCTAGATATGCCTTGCACCCAGCTCTTAATGCCTTTTATTGGTCGACATCTCACTTTTTCTCTGGTGTTCCTTTGCTTTCATTTTGCCATGGAAACCCAGCATGCATTGTAATGCTTTTGTGAGCGTGTGTTCTTTCTAATTTTTTTTCTCTAGCTGGTGGCTGGTTGCCATAGACTGGGCATGGGCTGCAGCCAAACTTTCACAAGGCACCAATAAGGTGAGCTCTGCAGCATGGTTTGTTGCTGAATTCCCCAGAGGGTGGGTGTTGATAAATCAATGGTAGTGCGTGTTTGTTTACACGTCATTCTATACCACAGCCAAACTTGCTCTTGGTGAGTTGGGCTTTAACAGCAAAACCTCTGTTGGCTTTAAGTCATTTGATAAAATAACTAACTAGTTTGATGGTGAACTAACCCAATGGTTAGTTTCCAGGTCCACTTTTAATTCTGTGGCAATTATAAAGGGGTGGGGGCTAGGGGGCAAAGACAGGGTTTCTTATCAGATAATACTGGCAAGGCTGTTTGGTACAGATTACGCTCAGATAAATAACTTTTTAACTTTTTATCATGCTACAACCACAAACTTGGCTGCATTTTTTTTCTGTGGTTTTATGTGGAGAGTGTATACTTGTAAAGCGAAAGTAGGTTTATAGTTTTCTCGACTCATATCTAAAAACTGTGGTGTGCATGTATTCAGCTCTCTTCCTAGGCTAGTTTATGCTTGACATATCTGTGAGAACGTTGCTGACAAAGCGTCTGAAGCATTTTATGCTCCATGCTAACCTGCAAAGCCAGATTAATAATGTGTTGCACTCTAGGTGTAGTTCTGCACCTGATCAATCTGGGCCTGATTCAATCGCATCTATTTGGGGGAAGTAAGGGCATGCAGTAGAACTTCCTGTGCTGATTGAGTGAAATGAATCCTAGTGTCCATCTATCAAAGTTTGGTTTTACCCAATCCCAGTAACAGATAAAAAGGTCTTAAGCTGCAGGCACTATTATAAGAAACCACAAAACACTTAAACTTGAAGCAGTCTTGGAACCCCAGACTACATGATAACCCCTGCTATGAGTGTGTTATCCTGTGCTGCCATGTTTATTTTGGTTCGGCTATGGGCTCAGTATATCTTGCTTTTTCATAACTAGACGTTATGCATTAAACCAGGTGTTTCAAATTGATGCCAGAAAGGGCGGCTGCAGGTTTTCTCTCCAACCAAAAAATTAGCACACAAGACTTGATCTCATCTCTCATCATGTTCAGATTGGACCCACTCAATGAAATGACTGGAGTCTGTTGTGCTACTGCTCGGTTGGAAAGAAAACCTGCAGCCACATGGCCCTTTCTGGAACCAGTTCCACATCCCTGCCTTAAACCATGATGCTGCAATGTGATTGGCTGAACCATTTTGGGCTGGTGTCAAATGATCAAAACTAGAGCGGGACAAGAAGGATTCTTGTGTGTTTTTGAATGCACACATACCATGAGGATTTATCTTGCATTCAAGGTTAACTAACCATGGCTTTTCTCCGCTGTACTCTTCTTATAGACTCTAGGGGGCAGCATTGGGCAGAGGCCAAATATTTTGCTGCTCTGTGTCATCCAAAAGTGTGAGAGGTTTTGTTCCAAAAGTTGCTCACATTATGGTGGTTGTGACGATATTTATGGGCCAAATCATACGATGCAAGTAGATGTTCATATTTGCATACCTTTCCTCTCCAGTGAGAGCTGTCGCTCATCTGCCATTTTTTTACATTCATAACTGTCTGCATAGGCTGCTCAGTGGCGCATTGGGTAGCACTGCTGCCTTGCAGCAAGAAGTATCCAGGTTCTATTCCTGGCCCGGGGTCTTTCTGCATGGAGTTTGCATGTACACCATATGCATGCATGCATTCTCTCCAGGAGTACCTGGAGAGAATGCATGCTTCCTCCCACAGTCCAGAAACATCAATGTTAGGTTAATTGCCTGCTCTAAATTCTCCTTAGGTGTGAGTGTGTCTGTGAATGGTTGTTTGTCCTATGCTGATGAAGATTCTCCGTCATCCAGGCCATAGTCATAGTCATTCCGTAAAAGTTTAAAAACAATCCACTGGACTTGGTTTCCAAGGTTTGAAGACTTTTCGCTTTCCCTCCAGGAAGCTTTCTCAATTCAAATGTAATTTTTTAATTCAATTCAAATGACATTTCAATTCGAAAGCTTCCTGGAGGGGAAGCGAAACGTCTTCAAACCTTGGAAACCAAGTCCTGTTTGCCTCTGTGTTGCCCTGCGATAGACTGCCAACCTGTCCAGGATGTACCCCGCCTCTCACCCATTGAAAGATGGAGATAAGCACCAGCACAACTCGGGACCCCAGTTGTGATAAAGAGTGACGAAAAACGGATGGATGAATGAACTGTCTGCATAGTTACAAACGGCACTATGGGGACGACACATCAAGCATAAAACAACATTTACTCTGTTCCCTTAAATAAAATCCTTTTTATCCTTTTTAAGCAGTTGGCTTTTAAGGTCATGTGAATTGAGTCAACAATCTGTTCTGTGATAGCCTACAGGGTTTGTTAGAGGACATTAGTGCATAAACAGCAGCAGGAGGAAAACGAAGGAACGCAGCAGGGAGAATGTACTAGACAACTACAAAGCAGGGTTAGCTTACAGGACAATATCCAAAGCTGAATATCTCCCAAGGTACTGCTAAAACCATCGTCCTGAAATGCCAACATTTTGGCAAAAAAACAAAACATCTTGTTTTCCACAAACCATGTAGGGGACACAATAACATAACTGCCTGTTATCTATTGCAGAAAATGAACACACTCACTAGAAACCAACACACACCATGGTCATGGGCAACATGTTTCTTTGAGGTCTCAGTACACTTTTGTGCTTAAATGCTCTCATCATAGATGTGGAAAGAGTTTTACCAAAACCAATGATCAACCCTAAAGACCTAAAACTGCCTGGATTGTCTTTTTTTTTAACTGGAGCACAAAAGCTAGAACAATGACCCATCTGATCACATAAGCTGTCATTAATAATATTCAGTTTTAAGAGAAAAAGTTAAAATGAAAGACTCCTTTATAAAGAAAAATTTTGCAATTTCTGCTTTTGCACCAAGTTATTATTAAAATCATATGAAAATTTCACTTGCCAGAAGTTTTTCTACGCTGTGGTGCTAATCCTAAATGTAAAAGGACTAAAAAGCTGCCACCAGATTTTTAGTCATGTATTTCAGGCTTGAACAATAGAAGAGGAGTGTTTTAACAAATAAAATTAAACTGATTAAACAAAACAGCAGTATAGTAAATTGGAAAATAAATCTAAAAATAAGCACAGATCATTTTCAATTCTTTGACTTTCATTGTAGGCTGTTTAAATAATTGCCTTCCTGACCATTTAAAGTACCTTGAAGATGTTTGTGGTTTGAACAGAAGTATTTAATGGGTTTTACTTTCCCATTTTATGGCTACATTTCTGCTGAGACTCGAAAAAATGCACAAAAAGAAAGCGGCAAAGGATGGAGATAATAAAATGCCATGAAGGACCAGATGTGAGAGATGCACAGCAGGGTAAGTTCCACACATTAAAGTTCAAAAAGCAAAAAAAATAAATTAAGCGAACCCATCTTTAGCCTGCGTTATGATGGAGAAGTAGTTTAAAACTTAGGAATCCCCATGAGAAATTGATCTTTGATAATGCATGGCAGCTTAAGAACATACTGCTAATATTAATAAAAGGTGGTAAAACAGTGAATTGGTCAAACATCATAATATTCTGTTACACAAAAAAACAAAAAAAGCAAAGGTTTTATCTTTAAAAACAGAGCTATAATTGAGTATGAGGAGAATAAAAGCAAGTTTTACAAAGAGGGACCTTTTAGCTTTAGCTCCTCTGTTTAGTTAAAACCAGGTGCCGTTCACCATAATCTTATGAGTTATTCTCTTGCTTGTGTTCATTACACTTTAACTGCTTTAATGTTCCTCCCTGTAACCAAGCAGGGCTTAGTTTATTATGTCCCACATGTGGAGCAAAGTTAAGGAAACAAGACAGCCCAGCTCTCAACTTGCTGCTCCTCATGCTTCTTGGTGATCTTAGCTCACAATCTTTTAACAGAAGAGATTTGTTAGGGTTCCTTTGCAACCCTGAGGTATGATTTAATGGTCTGCATTAAAAATTTGTAAAAAACACAAATTTAGTGTTGACATTCAGGAATAACAGAAAAACACAAACCAGATCAGAGGTTTGAAGCTTAAATTCCTGCACATTTCCACATTTTCAAATTTACTGCTCTGGAATGTCTTGATACGTGCAATGCCATGTAAAATATTCACACCCTCCAGAACCCTTTGCACTATTGCACCCGAAAATCAAACACTTGAAAATAGTTTTTAATACTTTAAAAACTTGATTTTAAAAATTATTATTAAGGCTCTAATGGCCTTTATTGTTTTTCATTTTTTAAAGTATGCAAACAGAAAAGTGGGTTACAAGAGAGGGGAGAGACATTTGACAAAGGTCAAAAGGGCCAGAACTTGACTTGTATACTATGGGTCATGTTCTCTACAGTACCTCCATACCACAGCTGCACCCCTACAACTTAATTTTAGATCATTTGATTTGTAGGGGTGTCCATATCTGACAATAGTATTGGATATCGAAATGATATTAGCCCATAGAGTACGGGCTAATATCTGTCCAATATCTGATATTGTCAGATTAGGACACCCCTACAAATCAAATTGGATTCAGGTTTTATCAGCCTGTATCTAAAATCTCCAATATTATCATGTTGATAGAAATTCTCTGC